TTTTGAGGCTAAATTATAGCGGAATGTCTTCCGTCAAACAGACAGCCTATACAACGAACACTGTAAAATATTGGACATTGTTTAACTGCAACATATAAAACGAACCTGAGTCTTAAAAGCTAATTGAATGGGAACGAGTTGCAGATAATACGCCTAAGCTGTTTTATTTTGGAAACCCTCATTATTTTTGATGCAACGTTTAAGTAATAAGTCATAAACTATTCTTCTGAAACTACATAAATCAAACTTATAAATACGTCACCGTGTACTGTATTTCATTCTCTGTTTCTAAAGCTGAGTTTTCCTCTGTAATTTACGAGTATTGCGCTTAGAATGAACTAATGCAAATTTGGAATACTCGGGCGAATAAATACTGAAAACATTATGGTTTACACAAAATCTTAATACAAAACAATAGCCCATCATCAATTCTTTGAAAAACGGCAGATTATCTAACGGTGCATTCCCCTACACCATTGGTGAACCTGCTGTGCGGCCCTTCCTTGGACCACGATGGACAAAATCTGTACACCATGAGAAAGCTGTGATGTATCCAAGTTACAGGCATTGAGTTGGATATCTAACAGTCACGTGGTTTTCCCAGAAATATCACAGGCAAGTTCTTAAGTACTTATACGTCTATTAAACATTAGTTTGTGTTATTATATTGAGTTTAGTCAGAAATAAAAGCCAGTTCCGTTTATACTTTATGAAAGCTTTGGAGTGTCTTAATTTAATAAACATGTTTAAAAAAACAAAAACTTTCTGACACGTACTATGCATTTGCTGTTAGGTGCGCATCGCTAACGACGGAAAAATAACTACATTTAAATGTTTTGTAAAGAATTAAAAATGCGCAGTTGAAGACATTTCCGCATTTGGATTCAACTCTGAATAAGGTAAAGTACATGACAGCTGTAAAGAATTATGTATGAAATTGGGGAGGGGGAAGGGGAGTTTTTAAGCAGAAATGTATTTCTGAAGCAAGACAATTAATCGTCAACAAAATAAGCCTTGTAGGATTTCTTAAAACCTGTAAAATAGCAAACCATTTAGACGTATGTGTGAGATATTTTATGCTTCGAAAACAAAACATGACAACGTTGATAAGAATGTTCTTGATTAAAAAACACATGTCCATAAGACTGATGTTTAGGGTATATCCAAAAGATTGCTGTTGATTGTAGGTGCCAAAGATTTCTGTTAAGTGTAGGTCCCTAAGATTTCTGTTACATGTAGTGTAGGTCCTTAAGGGTTCTGTCGAGTCTAGGTCCCTAAGATTTCGGGTGAGTGTAGGTCCCTAAGATTTCGGGTGAGTGTAGGTCCCTGAGATTTCGGGTGAGGGTAGGTCCCTAAGCTTTCGGGTGAGTGTAGGTCCCTAAGATTTCGGGTGAGCGTAGGTCCCTAAGATTTCGGGTGAGTGTAGGTCCCTGAGATTTCGGATGAGTGTAGGTCCCTGAGCTTTCGGGTGAGTGTAGGTCCCTGGGATTTCGGGTGGGTGTAGGTCCCTGAGATTTCGGGTGAGTGTAGGTCCCTAAGGTTTCGGGTGAGTGTAGGTCCCTAAGCTTTCGGGCGAGTGTAGGTCCCTGAGATTTCGGGTTAGTGTAGGTCCCTGAGATTTCGGGTGAGTGTAGGTCCCTAAGATTTCGGGTGAGCGTAGGTCCCTAAGATTTCGGGTGAGTGTAGGTCCCTGAGATTTCGAGTGAGTGTAGGTCCCTAAGCTTTCGGGTGAGTGTAGGTCCCTGGGATTTCGGGTGGGTGTAGGTCCCTGAGATTTCGGGTGAGTGTAGGTCCCTAAGGTTTCGGGTGAGTGTAGGTCCCTAAGATTTCGGGTGAGAGGAGGTCCCTAAGATTTCTGTTATAATAGGTCTCTAAGTTTCTGTTAAGTGTAGGTCCCTAAGATTTCTGTTACATGTAGTGTAGGTCCTTAAGGGTTCTGTCGAGTCTAGGTCCCTAAGATTTCGGGTGAGTGTAGGTCCCTGAGATTTCGGGTGAGTGTAGGTCCCTAAGGTTTCGGGTGAGTGTAGGTCCCTGAGATTTCGGGGGAGTGTAGGTCCCTAAGCTTTCGGGTGAGTGTAGGTTCCTGAGATTTCGGGTGAGTGTAGGTCCCTGAGATGTCGGGTGAGTGTAGGTCCCTGAGCTTTCGGGTGAGTGTAGGTCCCTAAGCTTTCGGGCGAGTGTAGGTCCCTGAGATTTCGGGTTAGTGTAGGTCCCTGAGATTTCGGGTGAGTGTAGGTCCCTAAGCTTTCGGGCGAGTGTAGGTCCCTGAGATTTCGGGTTAGTGTAGGTCCCTGAGATTTCGGGTGAGTGTAGGTCCCTAAGGTTTCGGGTGAGTGTAGGTCCCTAAGCTTTCGGGCGAGTGTAGGTCCCTGAGATTTCGGGTTAGTGTAGGTCCCTAAGATTTCGGGTGAGTGTAGGTACCTAAGCTTTCGGGTGAGTGTAGGTCCCTGAGATTTCGGGTGAGTGTAGGTCCCTAAGGTTTCGGGTGAGTGTAGGTCCCTAAGATTTCGGGTGAGCGTAGGTCCCTAAGATTTCGGGTGAGTGTAGGTCCCTGAGATTTCGGGTGAGTGTAGGTCCCTGAGATTTCGGATGAGTGTAGGTCCCTGAGCTTTCGGGTGAGTGTAGGTCCCTGAGATTTCGGGTGAGTCTAGGTCCCTAAGATTTCGGGTGAGTGTAGGTCCCTAAGATTTCGGGTGAGCGTAGGTCCCTAAGATTTCGGGTGAGTGTAGGTCCCTAAGATTTCGGGGGAGTGTAGGTCCCTAAGCTTTCGGGTGAGTGTAGGTTCCTGAGATTTCGGGTGAGTGTAGGTCCCTGAGATTTCGGGTGAGTTAAGGACCCTAAGCTTTCGGGTGAGTGTAGGTCCCTAAGATTTCGGGTGAGTGTAGGTCCCTAAGATTTCGGGTGAGTGTAGGTCCCTAAGATTTCTGTTATAATAGGTCTCTAAGTTTCTGTTAAGTGTAGGTCCCTAAGATTTCTGTTAGTGTAGTTCCTTAAGGGTTTTGTCGAGTCTAGGTCCCTAAGACTTCTGGTGAGTGTAGGTCCCTAAGAATTCTGCTAGTGTAGGTCACTAAGATTTCTGTTAGAGTAGGTCCCTACGATTTCTGTTGAGTTAAGGTCCCGAAGATTTCTGTTGACTGTAGGTCCTTAAGATCGCTGTTAAGTGTAGGTCCCTAAGATTTCTGTTAAGTGTATGTCCTTAAGAGTTATTTTAGTATAGGTCCCTAAGATTTCTGATGAGTGTAAGTCACTAAGATTTCTGTTGAGTGTAGGTCCCTAAGATTTCTGTCGAGTTTAGGTCCCTAAAATTTTTGATGAGTAAAGATCCTTAAGAGTTTTGATGAGTGTATGTCACTAAGATTTCTTTTGAACGAGGTCCCTAAGATTTCTGTTAAGTGAAGGTCCCTAAGATTTCTGGTGAGTGTTGGTCCCTAAGATTTCTGTCGAGTGTAGGTCCTTAAGATAGCTGGTAAGTGTACGTCCCTAAGATTTCTGTTAGTTTGGGTCCCTAGGATTTCTGGTGAGTGTAGGTCCTTAAGATCGCTGGTAAGTGTAGGTCCCTAAGATTTCTGTTAGTGTGGGTCCCTAGGATTTCTGGTAAGTGTAGGTCCTTAAGATCGCTGTTAAGTGTAGGTCCCTAAGATTTCTATTAATGTGGGTCCCTAGGATTTCTGGTGAGTGTAGGTCCTTAAGATCGCTGGTAAGTGTAGGTCCCTAAGATTTCTGTTAATGTGGGTCCCTAAGATTTCTGGTGAGTGTAGGTCCTTAAGATCGCTGTTAAGTGTAGGTCCCTAAGAATTCTGTTAATGTGGGTCCCTCGGATTTCTGGTGAGTGTAGGGCCCTTAAGATCGCTGTAAAGTGTAGGTCCCTAAGATTTCTGTTAGTATGGGTCCCTAGGATTTCTGGTGAGTGTAGGTTCATAAGATCGTTGCTGTGTAGTTTTTAAGTGTATAAGAATGCACGTACTTGTTTTCGGTTGTCAAGTACTGTCTGCCTAGTACAGGCTGTCATCAAGCCTGTCTGACAAATAATATGGGCGTTCAGACAGACTGAACTATCCTAGAGGGCTTACAGAAACAGACAGTAGACACTCTCATGGACTCATGTAGAGACTGTATATAATTGAATGTAGTGTATTGTGTATCCTCCAAATTTAGAAAAGACACCGTTAGCTTGTATTTCCATTTTATTGTTGGGGAGGGGAGAGGGAAGAGGAAGTGGTCCTCGAAAATGAATAAAGAAGCATTAAGGAGAGTAAGTATGTCTGGAGTAGCCAAAATTGGAGTTACATTTAACGTAATATTTTTTCTAACAGGATTCTACATTTATTGTAAGATCTGGCTAAATCTCGCTTAATCTCACTAAATCACTTTTATTGTGACCTAAATAGTGTACATTAACGCATTGTTTGTTTGGTATTTTGACAGTTTCCATCGTCGTCCTGTTAAATGGCTGATGATGCAGTTAATTTCGAAATACCGGTCAAGAAATATTCTGGGTTCATCCATTGTGACACACTACTTAGGGAACTCAGGTTTACAAACACTGTACCCAGTTAACAAAAAGATAGGATTACGAAAACTGCGTAGGTTTTTTTCTCTGTATTAGCCTTGACAGCTTTGTCGAGTAGAGTTTGGTTTTTACTCCTGCGATACATTGTGATCGATACGGTCAACTATCAGCTAACGATTTCATCCTCCCACTTTCATAACTTACTAGAGAGCAGGTATGAAGCACGTATGAAGACCGACCTGGTTGACTTCAAGTGATTATTTTCCAATCTTTCACTAGGAGTAGAGAAGAAAAACAATATTTCTCATTTCGCCCAATATAGAAGAGCGCACTGATATTGAAAGATAAATAAGGGTTTTTGGACAAAGTCTGTCGTATAAATCAATGTTAAACAATGTTTTGAAAACACTTAAAATGCATCGAACACTAAAGATACGTGTAAGTTAGTTAACGACAAAGCACTCCGTAAACGATGACCGGTCACAATGAGAAAAAAGGATATCGCTCATTTGCGTGATATTTTTAGAAAAGAAGTATTCGTTAGTGTCAATACATAATACCAATTATCTATTACTTCAAAACCGATACTTATTGAGACAATTTGATCCATCGATATCAAAACATTGCGAAGTTCTGTTGTATGGCGACGACGATACATTCCGAAACAAAGTTTGTCTAGGTCGACTTAATCTCCTAATCTGTGCTTTTTCTCCGGGTTTTCCGGTGTTTTCCTCCAACATCAGCTTCAATGACTATAGCTATTAAAATAACGTAAAACACAAACAAACTAGACCGAGAGAACGCTGTTTGTCGATGTCAATACATTGCGTGATCGTGTGTCGATGGTAGTAAAGTATGAGGTTGTGTTGTCTGCCGATGTCAACATGCTGTGCGATTTTACTTAGGTTGTCAAGAGCATTACTGTTAACATCCTGCTGAGGTCAGCAGCTTGTAAGATACCGTGGTCGTGCGTGTTAATCTCACAGCAGACATGTCTATACTTATCTTAATCCGGAAATGTAATAATGTTACCTTTTTACGCCACGTCCAGTATACTTGACTACAAAGAAGTAAACTTGACGATGGTAAGGAAGTTTCAAAATCTTGTCAAATAAACATGACGATGGTAATAGAGTTTCTAAATCTAGTCCACTAAACTTGGGAGTTTCTAAAATCTTGTCAAGTAAACCTTACGATGGTAATAGGGTTTCTGCATCTAGTCCACTAAACTTGGGAGTTTCTAAAATCTAGTCAAGTAAACCTGACGATGGTAAAAGAGTTTCTAAATCTAGTCCATTAAACTTGGGAGTTTCTAAAATCTAGTCAAGTAAACCTGACGATGATAATAAAGTTTCTAAATCTAGTCCACTAAACTTGGGAGTTTCTAAAATCTTGTCAAGTACACCTGACGATGGTAAAAGAGTTTTTAAATCTAGTCCATTAAACTTGGGAGTTTCTAAAATCTTGTCAAGTAAACCTGACGATGGTAAGGAAGTTTCAAAATCTAGTCAAGTAAACCTGACGATGATAATAGAGTTTCTAAATCTAGTCCACTAAACTTGGGAGTTTCTAAAATCTTGTCAAGTAAATCTGACAATGATGATAGAGTTTCAAAAATCTAATATTGTATAATATTTTTTGCAATGGGAAGGGAGTTTGCAAAATGTAGAAAACATGAAAGGCCCTAAAATCCTGTCCACTATGCTGGGAGATATTCGTCTCTGAAATATTTCCAGAATACATTATTCAACGGGGAAAGGGATTTCATTCAGACAGTGTCAAGCTCACTTAACTCTATGAAAAATAGTCTTCAAAGCATATATCCAATCTATGATATTGATATCATATTTGATAATCCTTGATACTTGATAGTCCTGTTACTATTTGACGGTAGCAAACCAATAAAACTAGTGGAAAGTGTAATGTATAAGTCCACATCTATGGCTCCAATTGATGAACTGCTGTACCTCAAAGATATAGAGACCCAGCCCCACCATTCATTGCTCACAACGAGTATCGGCGTTATTAACCATTCTTCGCGCTGTGCGTGCAACAAATATATTTGGACATGGTCGAATATGATGAATGGCCTTTTTTTCTCTTTTGGTCAAGGCCTTACTCCCATTTGATATCACCCGTTCAAAACCCTTGCAATTTTGAGATCATAAAACTTTGGTTGGGAAAATTTTCCTACCTTTTTTTTATTATTTCTGGGATCTGAGTTTGTCGTATCTTTTGAGGAATACCATACTTTTCCCCAATCAACTTGGATGGCTTCTAACGTCAAACATGACTTGCATAGTCATCAAGCGACTTGTTCCGACACCTAAAGATGAGTAGAGAAAGACGTAGAGTAGGCAGTTATATCGGACAAGTACACTAAACACATCAAAATATTAATTTCTACTAACACTAATTACAAAAGACGCTGGAACGTGACGGAAACATTTGTCAGACCGAATGGCATCAGGTTGAACTTGTTTAACCCTCCACAGACTGAAAATAACAGTTTTCTTCCGGTCTTTCTGCCGTAAAACAATTCATAGTGATAACAGCGGCCAACAGGTTCAGGCGATCATCAAACCTTGGCAAATGGTGTGCACCATTCTTTAACGCATGTATTCAATCGAAAAATGTCGACGGGGAACTGTAATGAATAATTTCTTTTTCTTATCGGAGTCACAGAACAACTCCAGGCGACGTCTTTGAGATTCATCATTTGCAGACTTATGGGGAAATTGGGGGACTTATGTAACGGTCCCTTTTACAATGACTTGTTTTCTTTGAAAATAACACTATCAAAATATGCAAACATGTAGTTGGTTCGCATTAGGTGTAGGAAAAATATTTTATGATTTTTCTATGATAAGTGAAAAACATTATTTTCGACTTTGGTATATTATTTTCGAGAATAAAGACAATGAAGCTTTTTTTCTGAAATCATTGCTATCTTTCTTAATGTAGAATTGGTTTAATCCATATTGAAAAAAATAATTTCCCTAACATCGAAACTCTTACAAGATCATGAAGGTGATATATTGAGTTTCCTATCTGTCTGAGGCTCAATAAACAACAGAAACCACGCTTAAATTTGCATGTGTGACTTGAACAAAATCTTCACATATCTTACTAGCAACATTTAGCGGTTTAAAGGAACATCCAATTAGCTCGTCATTGTAACTATACTGATGGATAACATTTAAATGTATGATGCTATTGCGCTGAACTGGCATGACATGAAAACGAAACAAGACTCAATCCGTTTAATTATTATGACAACAGTTAGATGTGCCTAACAGACACTATGTATCGGCAACAAATACAATGCTCCCAGATAAAAAGAAAAGGATATTATCACATACTTGTTGAGTCTTGTTATAGTAATACAAGCAATGTTTAGACCATGAAATACAACGTTCTGTATTGCACATGTGCAATACGGAATGTTGTATTTACCTACTAGCCGGAACTACTCTTTATGGAAATCCTCTTGTCATGGCGAACTGAAAAGTTCACGGTATTTGCAAAAAATATCAAGGTTTATAAAATCTTTGTATCGATCTCTACCAAATACGGAAGGTATGTGATAAAAGCAAGACCACACACTTGTGTTTTTCTAACGAATAAGAAAGCACTCATTTATTGCACGGACGTATATATTCACTTGTGCGCTCCGCGCACTCGTGAATATATTCGTCCGCGCAATAAATGATTGCTTTCTGATTCAGCATTTGTTACCGCTTGTAGTACATGCCTGGTCATTTGGTTCATGAAGTCTTTCCTTCTGGTGTGCAGTAGATATTGCGTGCCTATCAATGATATTTCAAAACTAACATATCCTCATTTGGAAAGGCAACATCAGAAGGAGCGGCAGCTTATCTTGCCTAGAAATATATGTAAGCTCATATTTGGACCCGGTTTTTGATATTTGCATTCTGACAGATAAAGCAATAACTAAGGTCAGCATCTTCAGAAATACCCTGACAACGTGTCAGCAGTCGGAAGAAGACATTATTTTTCTTTGATATTGTATTGCTTTCCGCCCACCTTGGCTTGATTATTTTTCTTCGTAATCAAATGTCAAAATATCCATCAATTGGCAATATACTGTTCGTGATCATCAGGAGAGCTGCTGCACATTGTATCAGAATATTGCTCGCAGTAATCACTAACATATGATGGTATCTCTAAACCTTAACGTATCATTTTAGTTCCAATTATTTTCGATTAAAGTTCGCTCTAATCCTCTGGGCTATTATTTGCTTTAATTTTCTATAAGTTCACTCTTATCATTTAGGTCCAATGCTCACTCCTTTTCTTGAGGTGTATTGTTTACTTTGACCCTTTATGTTTGATTCTCACTCCTATCTGTTAGGTAAAATGTTCACTTTTATCGTTTAAGTCTAATGCTCATTAATCATGAAGGTCTTAATCTCACTATCATTCTTTAGGTCTAATTCTCACTATTATCTTTTATGTCTAATTCTCACTATTATCCTTTAAGTCTTATGCTCACTATTATCCTATTAAGTCTTATGCTCACTATAATCATGTAGGTCTAATTCTACCTACTTAGTATTATCCTTTAAGTGTCATGCTCAATTATTATTCCTTTTGGTCTAATGCTCACTATTATTCCTTATGTCTAATGCTCACTATTATTCCTTAGGTCTAATGCTCGCTCTATTTGTATATATAATGCTCATTGTTATGAACTTCATACGTTTTATGTTCTCTATCTACTAATTTCCGTGTAATGCTTACTCTTTTTTTTTCGTTTTATGTTCTCTCTACTCATTTCCGTCTAATGCTCACTCTATTTTGCGTCTAACGTCACTGTATTTTTGACGTCTGAGGTTCTCGCTGATCATTTATGTCTAAAATACACACTGATCGTATGCGTCTTACAATTTATATATTAAAATAGTGATTGCCTTGTTTTTACACAACAGCAATTACCTTAACTGTATAATCTTAATGTAGGAGGACTTACACACGTAAAGCACTATCATCCAAACGCTCAGTTTGACTTGATAGTTCATTTTTAAACGTGTTTAAAGTATTTCCATGTTAGCTGCAATTTCTTAAAACTTGTGAAACAAATGTAGTTTATAATTTCTTTATATATTACGGTCTTGAAAGTAATCTGAATCGGTCTATACGTCGGTAGTCATTGGCCAGTATGTTGAACTCTATCGTTCACTTTGTAAATCCAGCTCTGTGTCAACGGAATTTCCACTATATTGTTACAAATGGATTTAATTTGATTTATAGTGTTACATTGTACTGCCGAGTCACTAAATTATTGTGAAACCAGCTAATGTTGATCTTTAATTCTATAATCTAGCATGTATTTATTTTTTTAATTTGTTGTTTTTATGTTTACAGGGGGTGGAAACTACAACCTATTTCAAAAACGACACTTCAATTATAATGCACAACTGCGCAGACACGGCATTCGATGACACTTTCCGGTTATCATACGCCATCTACCGGATGCTAGTTATGTTCGCCCTACCCACCCTCATCATGGTCGTCTGCTACTCTGGCGTAATCTACACACTATGGCTCAGCTCACGTCAACTCTCCAAACTCACCTCAGGCTCAAGGTATTCCTCTTAAATCAGATTGACCCATATTCAAAATATGCATCCATGCAAGGTTACTCGCCTCAGACTCAAAGTATGTCTCTTAACGTAACATACCTAACGTCGTGTTTGCTGGTCATGTACTAAGTTGCAGCTAGCCCTGTATCAATTGGCAATGTATGGAAGTGTAACTAATGCTCGATGTGCGTGAACAAAATTTTGGCCAATTCATCATATGACCAAATTCTAAATATTTCATATCAGGATTAAAGATATGGATCTAAACTGTTCTTAAATTAAATTGATGGATCTTTTTGTAAGCGCCTTAGATTGCTCTACACATACCTGTTTTGGTCATCAACAATAGGGTGACAGCATTATAGAGAGTAGTTAAAAGATTTTTTCTTTCTTAACATATAAAATGAAGGACTGTGTTTTTAGTTATGAACGCATGCGTCATGCTAATGACTTAATTGCTGCTCCATGATAAACTGTTTTTCTTGAAACAATTTCCAGATGTTGCAGCTTTGTGATTCACAATTGTTTGATTGGAGATGTCAGTGGTAGTCGTGGTGCATTTCAGGTGCTGCAGTACGCTTGTACCAAGTATTAATAAGGACATAAAAAACAGATTCTAATCAATAGTGAATCTTAATATAGTTGTTTTGAAGTGATTCATTTATTAAAAGACAGCAGCAGAAATATTACAAACAAAAAAATCAATTTAAAATTTGTTTATTCAACTCAGAAGGAGCTAGTGTATAAATGGTGCAAACAAAATACAGTTGTTTTGAAGTGTTTAATTTATTAAAAGACAATAGCAGAAATATTACAAATAAAAAAATCAATTTAAAATTTGTTTATTCAACTCAGAAGGAGCTAGTGTATAAATGGTGCAAACAAAATTGTACAAAATTTAGGTAGTTTATTTGATATGCATTTTTTTTCAAAAACTTGCAAGGTATATACTATTCTAATGTTTATTACGTTACGCTTTTTTCGGTTAATTTGTGACCTTGAATATAAGTAAAGGTCAATAATAATAAAAGTGTGATGCATTGATACTTTTTAAAAGACCAAGAGATGTACAACATATATTACACCATATTAACTGTCTAACACATCTTAACATCTGTAACATTTCCTTTACAAGACCAAGAGATGTACAACATATATTACACCATATTAACTGTCTAACACATCTTAACATCTGTAACATTTCCTTTACAAGACCAAGAGATGTACAACATATATTACACCATATTAACTGTCTAACACATCTAAACAATTGTAACATTTCCTTTACCAGACCAAGAGATGTACAACATATATTACACCATATTAACTGTCTAACACATCTTAACATCTGTAACCTTTCCTTTACAAGACAAAGAGATGTAAAACATATATTACCCCATATTAACTGTCGTTCACATCTTAAACATCTATAACATTTCCTTTACAAGACCAAGAGATGGACAACATATATTACACCATATTAACCGTCTAACACATCTTAACATCTGTAACCTTTCCTTTACGAGACCAAGAGGTGTACAACATATAATACACCATATTAACTGTCTAACACAACTTAACATCTGTAACCTTTCCTTTACAAGACAAAGAGATGTAAAACATATATTACACCATATTAACTGTCTTACACATCTTAAACATCTATAACATTTCCTTTACAAGACCAAGAGATGTACAACATATATTACACCATATTAACTGTCTAACACATCTTAAACACCTATAACATTTCCTTTACAAGACCAAGAGATGTACGACATATATTACACCATATTAACTGTCTAACACATCTTAAACATCTGTAACATTTCCTTTACAAGACCAAGAGATGTACAACATAGATAAGGATCAAGGAATGGCATTATTATTTTATGTATATACTTATATGAATTTCAGGTGTACCTTTACTTAATTTTATTGTTTTCATTATATACCAATAACAAAGTAATCACTGTATGCAAGCAAGGTAAGTATGGACATATATTGTAAATTACAGTGTTTTGTGGTTTGAACTATCCAAAAACAAATGTATCAGATAACACATCACTGTATCTACAGAAGGGTTTACGTGTCATATGTAAATGAGTAACAGAATGGTGATGCACTAGAAACGAGTACTTCGTGAGAACCAGGGGCTTATTTAGCAACAACAGATGTCATTAGGCATTCGTCGAACATCGTTAATTCAACACCCACTTATTTGGTTGCTTTAGGGATGCATTGACTCTTTATAAAAAAAATGGTGCGTTTTACAATATACCTACTCCTGATAAGAAAGAGAGGCGACCCACGATATCAGTACACGAGCTTTCGAATTTCGCCTGGTGTACGTGATTCTAGCGTGTGATAGTGAAATAAAATCAACTGATTAGTAAAAGGAGTGGTCAAGTAAGGTTCTTTTCCCTCCCGTCTCCTACCAATTAGGAGCCAATACCACGTTATTACGCTGGAGGCTACTCACCAAACTAATGTCACTACGTACGGGTTGAATAATGTTTTACTCCTGAAGCTCAGTCATTTAAGTCATCACTAACAGTGCGGCCAAACGTATCATTTCTGCAATGAAAGTATGTTATTATTGAAAACTCAATTGATCAAAGACGATTTTTATTACATGCTTGGCGAATCTTACTGTAGTGGTACAGCCTGTCTCCAGGCCATGATATACAAGATTCAGATTTCAAATTGTGATAGTACACGATTTGGCGAAAACTCCTTTAGAGCTCATCGGTTCTTATTTCCTTATCAAATCGACGGATTAAACAAAAATAGGTTGTATAATTTAACTTTATGGTATTGTGACGTCATTATTTCGACGGAAACAAATTGAACATTAATATGGAGTAATAATGAGGAATATTTTGCACAAAATACATAATGTATATGAAAAGCAGTTATAGGTGTAATAAACGCAATACAGCACAGCTGAGGTCTCAGATTGCGCTAGTTTATATTGCACGGAAGGATATATTTCATTCTGGCTAAAACCGCGTGAAATATATCCATAAGCTCAAGACACTCGTGCAATATGTGACATTAGATGAAAACATACATGTGGTATTGCCTGTATATTTTAGTATACTTCAGGAACTTGTCACATGTATATGTCTTAATAACATAAAAGTGAATATAGCTTATTTTCTATTGAACATGCTTATACAGGCTACACGTTGCACATGTATCAACCATTCGCAGATTGTATTAAGGCAATCAGCCCTATCTTCTGTAGAAAGCAACACTTCCTGTGTTGTGCACGGCGTTTCCCTGAAAATGTATTCAACAAAATCAAGCATTAAGTCCTTATATCAACCTAGACCTTCTTATGAATGGCAGTTCTGGGTGTAACTTTACAACCCCTGAACCCTGCTTCTCAATCCACGTCCCTTTGAACCGTTAGACTGTCTTCAAAATTATAGCTCTTTATGCAACATCAACTCACAGACATTCTCCCTAATGGTAAGCGATGTTGAGTAAATGTCTGTGTCCACTTCTCCTATCCTAAAGTGATAGTTATGAATGGAGATTAGCTTTTGCGGGCTTCCTTCGGGAGGTGCAAGATGGAAACTGAGTGTTTCTGTTTTGTTATAAATGTCACACAGTGAAAAAACAACAACATGGACATGTTTGTACTAAATACGTTTTTGCTAGTCTTTATGGCAATTTCTCGTCAGTGTTTGTAATGATTAATTAATGCGGAAACATAAAAATTGAGCCACCGTTATTGACGCCGCAGTAACGAGCAGACGACATCAAGCTTATAAACTTCTACTTTTTTTGTATGCGACATCTTCATCATTTTTTTATAACCACCATGGATGCCATAAAACTATAGTATGACCATGTTAATTAAACATAAAATGTACCATTTTACATGTAATCGGATGCCTTACAACATTTCGGTTTTTGGTCAAATTAGACTGCGCTTGCTTTTTCGGCATTTTTATTGTCAGTTTGACGATTACAGTGTCTTTAACAAAAGAAACGATCTACCGATAAACACACAAACTGCATAGTCTGCTACATTGTACAATGATTATAGGATTGAATCAGATTAATCACTTGATTTAGTTTCAAATCTTTTTCAATTTGATACCATATAACCGGAAGTTAAGAAGAACCATTTTGAAAGGATATTTCTGTCAGATTTTAATTAGGTTATAGAACTGAAAGGTTCGTAATTAGCTAATACATGTATATGATTCCAATAGCATGTGTTGCTTTCTCTAATACTCTAATTCAAGTACAGAAAGAGTTTTAGATATGACTTATGCATGTTCCAGTACAAACATGATCTAACTGTGGTACACAAGGTGTAATTCTAGTCCAGAAAATGTCTTACAGAGACAATCGGTCAATATTCTAGTCAAGACAAGGTCTAAGTAAGCTGATCAATATTTGTAAATATCGGTAAGAGTAAATGTGTTCGGTATAGAAAATAAAAATGAAGGCGTCCGAATACACGCAAAATATCACTACTTAAGTAAAATGGTATTTGCTTTGTTATTTTCTTTCAATTCGCAAGCCTTTTCTGATTATAACTACCAGTACAATGTATTACATGTCAGCGTAAGTACGTGTTTCCGAGGCATTATGTATCTTTGACAGAATAATATCTCTCCCACACAGAGAAAAAGTTCAAAAAAGTTCTAAAAATAAAAAAAAATACATTTGATATAGCGCCCTATCTAGCTAACATAAGCCACTCTAAAGCGCTTTACAGTACATAGATATACAATTTTATACAGTCAATACAATTAGCATATATAAATTAATCAATACAATATTGAGGAATTCGCAGCAGCTGCCTTATCAGGCGCTAACTACTAGTACTATGCCCCCTGGCTTATATCTCCCTATGTGTGTATGCCTGTGTGTGTGCTAGAGATGTATTGTGTTCTGTTTGTAGTGGGACTGTGCTTCCAACAGTATCATTTAAAGTGCCACCTCACTTGAATGCTACAGCACAGATACCTGGGTTGTTGGAGTTGTGTTATCGGTCATTAGATATAAGAAAAAGAAAAAAAAAGAATTTCCGAATGTATCATATGTTTTAAATATTTAACAGTTGCGGTGTAGGTTTTTCAGTAGTCAACATGTATTTTATGTTTTCTGTTCTCAGCAGGAGTGTCCATTCCTCCACAATCTCACTGGAGAGATCATGTTTACGACAACATCTGCCTCATTCAGTCACATTAGTTACCGGAAGTCCATACCGGATCCGGAAGTTCAACGCTCGAAATGGTGTCCAAAGCCATGACCGTAGTGCGGATGTTTTAGCAGCTAGAAAGCAGGTAGGTTAATTGATTTCATTTAGTTTTAGTTTTATATTGTCGAAGAGCGACATATTGGTATTATTCACAGAACTGACCCATTTTACTATGTCATACGGCCATGTCATAAATATGGTATTACACATGTGTAATAAAACCTTAAGGTGCTGCAATCTCCGATTGTGAAAAACGATTTGCAAGGAGTTATCCTTCTGTGTATTTCAATGATCTACCTCTCATTAAAATCTCGTTTTAATCTAGTAAAACATGTTTCATTTTCATTCATTCATATTTACATTTGCGCTGCAACCCACTATATGAACATTACCAGCAGAAATGCATTTCATTTGAGTATGAAAGCAAAAACTCTCATGATGTAACACGTGGTTTACTTATGACGACATAGATTAACCTCTCTCAATGACAATTTTGTCGCTTAGCTTCGGATAACTTGGGGGAATGTCCCTGCTTGCGCCAAACATTCAAATTACTACGGTTAATTATTTGCGCCAATTTGATCTAAATAGGGCTGTTCCGTCAATGTCGTTTAAAGGACGACACATAAACAAAACGAAGTAAATGAATTAATTATTAAGAACAAATAAATATAACTAAACAATTGTTTCTATAGTAAAAATGTAAATATATGGATTGAACGGCGTTTTTTTAAAAAAGTATGCCGGTATGAACGCAAAATTCATTTTGAATATCAAAAAATATATATGTATCTTACTCTATAAGCAATATTCAAGTTTTTCCTTTTCACTTAAGATTAACCATTAAAAATGTCAGATTCTTCGTATTTTATTTTTTTGCATATTCTCTCTTTAAAACTTCGACTTTTCGAAAAAGCAGATGCATCAAGCGCTCGACTTTAACCAAGAAGCCCGACTTACCCCATATTAGACCTAAGAAGCCATTGCACACTTAGATCCAGGCTAAAAAAAGTGATTTTTAGCTCACCTGGCCCGAAATGACCTTCACCTATTTTCAAGGGCACAGGGGTCGAATATGTTAAAAACTTTAAACAACTTCTTCTGAATAACCAAAATGTCCAGGGTGATGATATTTTGCCTCTAGCATGCTGGGATGAAGGGCTACCAACTTTGTTCAAATAAATGACCTTCACTTATATTCAGGGTCACATGGATCAATTGTCTTCTGAAACTTCTTCTGAATAACCAAGAGGCTTAGGATTATGATATTTGGCCAGTAGCATGCAGGGATGAAGGGCTACTAAGTTTGTTCAATTGAATGACCTTGACTTACATTCAAGGTCAAAGGGGTCAAATATGTTAAAACTTTAAACAACTTCTTCTGAATAACCAAAAGACCTAGGATAATGATATTTGGCCAGTAACATGCTGGGATAAATGGCTATCAAGTGTGTTCAAATGAATGACCTTGACATATATTAAAGATCTCAGGGGTCCAATATGTTAAAAACCTTTAAAAGATTTTTTCTCTTAAGCAAAAGGCCAAGGGTGATGATATTTGGCCAGTAACATGCTGGGGCGAAGAGATACCAAGTTTGTTCAAATTATTGACCTTTACTTATATTCAAGGTCACATGGGTCAAATATGTTTAAAACCTTTAAACAACTTCTTCTGAATAACCAAGAGACCTAGGATAATGATATTTGGCCAGTAACATGCTGGGATGAAGGGCTACCAAGGTTTTTCATATGAATGACCATGACATATATTCAAGGTAAAGAGGTCAAATATGTTTAAAACCTTTTAATAACTTCTTCTGAATAACCAAGATGCCTTGGATAATGATATTTGGCCAGTAACATGCTGGGATGAATGGCTATCAAGTGTGTTCAAATGAATGACCTTGACATATATTAAAGATCACAGGGGTCCAATATGTTAAAAACCTTTAAAAGATTTTTTCTCTAAAGCAAAAGGCCAAGGGTGATGATATTTGGCCAGTAACATGATTAGATGAAGTACTATGTACATATGAATGACCTTCACCCATTTTCAAGGTCACAGTGGTCAATATTTGTTTAAATCTTTAAATGGCTTGTTCTGTATAACAAAAAGTTCTAGGATAATGATATTTTGCCAGAAACATGCTGGGTTCGAAGACTATAAACTCTGTTCAACCTAATGTCCTTGTTCAACATTCAAAGTCACAGGTGCATATGTTAAATCTTTTGATAGGTTCTTATGAATCAAACACTGATATTCTGCCTGTAGCTGTATTTCAGTCCACTTTTAAGATTACAAGTGTGAGATTAATACCAGGTGAGCGATTCATGCCCATTGGGTCTCTTGTTATAACTTTACATACTTGTTATACAAATGTTGTAAGATATATATGGCTTATCTAAAAATACAACAAGCATTAGTGAACAATGACATGTTTTCCGTGCAGTACTAGTACTTGATACGGTGCTGTTAAAACCGGTACCTACATTCATTTGGTATCTTTGGTAACTAGCATTTCAGGTTTCTTTGGTAACTAGCCTTCCAGGTATCTATGGTAACTAGCCTTTCATGTACCTTTGGTAACTAGCATTCCAGGTATCTTTGGTAACTGGCCTTGCATGTAGTTTTGGTAACTAGCCTTCCATGTATCTTTGGTAACTATATCCCTCCATGTATCTTTGGCAACTAGCCTTCCAGGTATCTTTGGTAACTGGCCTTACATGTAGTTTTGGTAACTAGCCTTCCATGTATCTGTGGTAACTATATCCCTCCATGTATCTTTGGTAACTAGCCTTCCAGGTATCTTTGGTAACTAGCCTTCAAGGTATATTTGGTAACTAGCCTTCCAGGTATCTTTGGTAACTAGCCTTCCAGGTATCTTTGGTAACTGGCCTTCCGTGCATCATTGGTAATTAGCCTTCCAGGTATCTTGGATAACTAGCCTTCCAGCGGCTTCCCCTTATTGATCGACATAAGAGAGATAATGTATCGCTATGACCGATGAGCTTCATGAAGCATATTTGTGGAAATTCGAGATGCCAAATAATTGATATTTAATATTTTGTGTATTATGTGTGGATTTGAAGACTGTGCACTATTATGAACGTTTGAGAGGATTTTCATTCATTGAATCGGGTAGATTAAGAAAGTTCCTATCAAAACAATTATTTCAGTCTATTTTGATAAGTGAAGGGTTAAACTCACTAAATAGAGGGATTTTTTTCATCAAAACTGAATCGCCTAGAGACTATTATGTCTGGGATTATTAGTCTAGGTAATAAAACAGCTGGGAATAATCTGTGCTAGCAGATTTAAATGTCGCACCGATATGAACAGACACAACTGAAGTTGACAGAAATACATACATAGAAACAGTATCTGGTGTATTAACAAATATCCATATACAGTCTCATTAACCACGCCGTATAAATAATTGAATTTTTGTAGGTTTACAAAATATCTGAAAAAACTCTCCATACAGCGCTACAAAGTGTCAGCTTTTCAAAAATAATTTGTGTCATGCTGGGTTCCCCGAAACAGTTTTAAAGATTTTTTTCATTAATCAACGAAAAGTATTAAATAGTGTATATATCGATTAAATCGATTTTTGTCCAAAAATGATAATAGGAGCGGAGAGAAACCGGTATTAGCCCCTTTTTTGGAATGTTTAATTGGATGTCGCAGACATTCTTGTGGAAAGGCAAACAGCAACTCTTAACAATGTTGGTTTTGGGGGGAGTTATTCCTCAAATGTAGACGTTGTTTTGGAATCAATACAAACAAGATTATTAATGAGATTTCTTTTTACATGTATGATATTTACATGAATGACAAGCTTGTTGAATAATTATTATTCCACGTCACGAATGACCGATGCCTGTCTGCTATACATCTGTATGGAGGAGATATAACAGAGAAATGCTGTTAGTACAGTAAAACATATTACAAATATTCATAAATACTTCATGTCAGAAATGACAGATAGTTGTCTGGTATACATTCTGTCTACGTAAACTGTTACAGTAAAACGCTGTCACTACAAACACGTTTTTAACGACTTCTTGCTTGTAGGGAATGAATATGAAATTGTTTTATAATACATTGAAAGTTAAAACTGCTGACTTTAGTATACCTACTTCACGCTTTTTTCAACCCAATTTGTCTTTCGCTGCTGTTTTTACAGTGTTCCAACTACTCCATCCTATATGGTTGCGCTCTTTTTCAACCGTTCTTCGCCAGGTCGTTTCTAGTGTCCCTCTTGCTCTTTCCCCCTCTTGTGCCCATCCGATGGCTGTTGAACAGTCATTTATTCCTTCCTTCTCTCCTCAAGATGTGACCAATCCAGTTCCGCTTCTTCTCCTTATTTCACAGCTGATGTCATTTATGTTGGCTAGCTCTTTAATTTCAGCATTTGGTGTTCTTTGCTGCCATCTTTCTCTCAATATACTTCTGAGACACTGGTATTGGAAGGTGTTCAGTTTCTTTTCTTCTGCTTTTGTAATTTTCCAGGTCTCACAGCCATACAGTAATACAGGTTTAACAAGCGACTTGAACAGATGAATCTTTGTCTTTCTGCCAATAGCTTGTTCTCCCCAGATATTTTGGAGTCGGGGAAATGCTCCTCTTGCCTGCTGTAGTCTGTTCTTGATATCACTACTACCTCCTCCTTCTCTGTCCATTAAAGCACCAAAATATACAAATTTGTCAACATCTTCTTTTATCTCGTTCTTTAAGAGGATATTTTATTCTTTCTTGCTTGTTCGCTCCTGAGTGCCTTGCATATTTTAGCGTTAAGCTAAAAGTGTTTAGTCCAGTTCGTGCTTCCTCAGATAGATGTTAGTCTTTCTGTCTTTTCACTAAGATCACTCAGCTTCGATTACAAAAGAGCAATGTCGTTGACAAAGTCCAGGTCTTTCAGGGAGGTGTTGATTTTCCACCGTATGCCTCTCACTTTGTCTGCTGTTGTTCTCTTCATAATCCAGTCGATGGCCAAAATGAACAAAAATCTTGACATTACACATCCTTGTTTCACCCCGGATCTTATGTCAAACCACTCCGATGCATCATTCTCATCTAAAATAGCACATTTAAAGTCCTTATATATCCCCATGATGGTTCTCACTACATTATCCTCCATAAACCTTGTCTATGCACAGAGTCGGATGCTTTCTATAAAGTGTATAGACAGTGACGACCTCCGTTCATTTGTTTATTCCTAAGGTGTTCCTTAATGTAAATATCTGTTCAGTTGTATTCCTATTTGGTCTAAATCCAGCTTGCTTGGGTTTTTTTATCAACCCCTTTTTCATTCTTTCTATTAACCTTCTGTAAAAAAAACTTTACTAATGACTGGTAGCAATGTAACTCCTCTCTAGTTGTTGCAATCTCTTGATCCTCCTCCTTGAGTATCTTACAAATTAAACCTTTCTTCCAATCAGTTGGCCATTTTTCCTGTTCCCATATCTTATTGAAAATCTCTGTTAGTATTTTTGTTGTTTCTTGTAAATCTGCCTTTAATAGCTCTGGTGCTATACCATCAACTCCTGCTGCTTTTCCATTCTTTGTATCTTTAGTGCCATCCCTACTTCGCTTTAAGATCAACTCCCAATGTAGATCCCCTCTAGGTCATCTACTTGCTGTAGCTCATTTTCTGCAATAGAGTTTAACGGATCTGCCTTATTCAGCACAAAACTGAAACGTTCTCCCCATCTGTCCAAGCGTTTTTTCTTCTCGATCTTCATTTCTCCGTCTTTGACTCTGATACCAGCTGATTGTTTCTTCCTTGTAATGGTATACAATTCTTTACTCCTACCATTCCCTGTTGCCTTTTCCGCTTCTTATGCCTTTTTTCCTATCCACTTCCTTCTATCCTCCCTTACATTCTTCTTCACTTCTTTATTCTTGTCATTGTATTTGTCCGTCCATCTCTCTTTTAGTCTATCTGTTTTTTAACCTTCCATCTTCAGTTTCATCTCTTTCCTTTCCTCGATTATCTTCCAGGTCTGATTACTTATCCACGGTTTGCTTGCTTTTTTGTGATACCTAACAGCTGCTTAGTTGTGACTCTGAAAATTTCTATTGCTTTGTCATGCTTTTCAAAGGGGTCATCTTTATCATCATTTTCTAGAGTCTAGAATCTGTTCTTCATTTCCACGTTATATTGTTTCCTGATGTCATCACTTTTCAACTTGCTCAGATCGTATCTTTCTCTCTTCGATTCTCCTTTTACTAACCTGTTTCTTGCCAGTTTAAGCCTTATTTTTGTTCTTACAAGGTAGTGATCACTGTATAAGTGGAGACCTCCAAGTTCCTTGTTTCACGCTATGATAATTTAAAATGTTGTATTAAAGCCAAACTCCTTTTTTTTGTCTGGAACTCGTTATTTGTTATCCAAGGGTCAAATTGACAATCAAAATAATATTGACTTTCGAATATTTAAGCGCCATTTTACGCTATGACAACGTGACGTCAATATTCTATAGTCGACGTCGTTTTTGCTGCCACTTTTGTCCTGTTGTTTGGAAAGCGAATTAAACATTAATACAGGGCGATGAGAATTATTGGTTTGCACAAAAGCAACACCACACTTCTGAAATTACACTCGTTTATTGCATGAAATTTTCATGAAATATAACCATTCGCGCAATGCACTCACGCAATATAAGACCACAGATAAAGGCAAAGGTGGGATTGTTTATGAATAATACCAGTAAAATATATAGAGGATCTGTCATAAGTTTCCCTTCATATTAGATTTATGATACAAGTTTTGTTTTTTTCATGTTTGCGAGGCTCTGGCGAGCAAATATGAAAAATCCAAAACGAGTATCATAAATCTAATATGAAAGGAAACGAATGACAAATTCTTTTTATCATATAATACAAAGAAAAACTGTATAATTGTTATCTGAAACGAATATTTTAAAATCGGTCGGCTCTGAAACGTTGAAAATTGCGTCCGCTTTACAATGACGTGACGTGACGTTCCTATTCGATTTCCGGAGTGATATCACACACATTACATAAAAATAGTTTATGTGATGACTTCAGGACACTGCATAACACGGTATTCATAAGATAAAAGGAATCATTAATTAGATAAACGTCACATTTGACAAAAAAGATGATATTTTACTGTGATGATATAAAGTTTATTTTTGCCTGTCCTTTGGTCGTTGGCCGCTCTCTTAATTCAAACTGCGCTACTTCAAGTTTCATCTAATAACAGCGAAAGTGCTAGTGTACTAGTGACACATCTGTGCTTTTAAAATGTTGGCAGGGTGAGACCAAAGCGTCCAAGTGCTTATAACTGTCAATCTAATATCGTTTTCCCAACACTTTTAAACGTTTGCAGGAATTGAAGTAATTGTTCATGAAATGCATTGAACTATGAATTCACCATTATTATTAGGAAGCAGAAATACAAAAAAAAATATTTGTTTAAATAAGATGAATCGGATATTAGAGTTATGGTTAGTGTATGGAGGCTCTATCGTAGTACATTATATTTAAGTTAGGTTTAGTTTGGTTTGGTTTATTTCCCGAAACTGTCCGAACATTTACTGCGCACTCAAGCCTGTTTTCAAAAAATGCATGCATGCACACATACATATATAATTAAGGATTGACCTTCATTTTGACAGCGTATACGGTAGTATGAACGCATTTTCTATGGTGCGCGTTAGCCTTATATTGGTACCAAAAGACCGCAGGATCCTGTGATAATGTATTACTGTTTTTTATATCTTTCAACCCTAACTTTATCCATACTGAGCCATCTAGGAATACTCTGTAACATAACGTTTTTCACCAGCAATGTTTACATTGTTAGCGTGTACAACAAAATACGTTGACCTACTAACCTACAAAGGAGTATTTCTTTTAAGTTCCCTCGTTAGATTTAAAATACAAAGGACTTGTTAAATTATATAGATTGTTGGAATTTCGAAATCCCAAAGGAAACGACCCACATCTGTAGCTCAAAACAACTAATTCACTTGCTCCTCAGTGATGTGTTACAAAAACATGACGATGATTTATACGGAATTACACTGTTAATAGATAGTTATTAAGGAACGTTTAAGCTCTGAACTGTTTTCAGTTAGAAGTAGGCAATATGAATGCTAATTTAAGCGCTTCACATATTCCCGAATTGATGTTTTCAATTAGGGCAACAATATTTTCAATGAAAAGAAAAATACAGATACTTTTATAAGCTTATCATCCAAAAGTAGGACGGTGTTTAGTTAGACAGCGTTATAGAGTTAAAAATGTCAGAATACAATCTTCCATGAGAGAGAAAATATTCCAGAAACTACCAGTACAGAAACAAATTTGTACAAAAGGTTAACGCTGCCGAGAACGGTTCAGGAGTGGGTGTCATGGGTAAACTATCACATCCCATAGGTAGATAGATCAACGTGTATCCCACCGAACTCAGATAGTGATTGTTTTCATGGTTCTAGTGGGAACAATTCATGGTCGTCAGCAACGGCGTTTAGATCAACACATTTCTGGTATAGCCACGTGGTCATGTACATACGTCATCACTTATGTTTCGGATGTTGGACGTAATTTTCTTCTGTGTATGTAATGCATGTTTTTCAATGTCAGAAAAAACCTTACAATATAAACATGGAAATGCTTCAAATGATTTTATTTCCTCACTTAGCACTGCCCAAGACAAATAATAAATTGATTGATATATTATGATACATGATTATATTGATATTTGAATGTTCTATTCCAGGTAATCAAAATGCTCATCGCCATTGTCGTGGTTTTTTGTCTGTGCTGGGGTCCAAAACTTATCTACTGTGTGTTACTTCGGCTTAACCTACCCATGCTGTACCACACCGAGGCCTTCACTACAAAAGTAAGTAACCAAGTAAATGATATACAAATTTTCTAAATAATATATACTACTGAGGTGGATAAATTACTTATTAATATATCACAATAATAGTTAACCTACTAAATAATATTTCAAAATCGTAGATAATCTACTATTTAATATATCACAAAGGTAGAAAACCTGCTAAATAATGTATCCCAAAGGAAAATAACTTACCAAATAATACATCGCAAAGGTAGATAATCTACTAAATGATATATCACAAAAGTAGATAACCTACTAAATAGTATATCACAAAGGTAGATAACTTACCAAATAATATATCGCAAAGGTAAAAAAAAATATACTAGATAATAAATCACAGAGAAAGATAATTTACCAAATAATATATCACAAAGATAGATAACTTACTCTTTACATATGTTATGTATCACTAGGGTAGGTAACATACTATGTAATACGTCACAAAGGTATATTATTTACTTAATAATATATATCCATATGTAGATAACTTACCTAATATATATAATGCTATGGTAGATAACCTTTTTAATATATAACAAAGTAGATATGTTAAATGATTAACCCCCAAAACCTTTAAAATTATACAAAACCAAAGAAGATAACTTAATAAAGATGTGAATTATACAGCACTTAGTATAGGTAAACTAATTAAACGAAATGATAATTTGAAAGTATGTGGTTCTTTTACCTTTAACTTATAAAAAGTGCCAATGTTGTCACATATCATTATTTGAACTATTCTATATAGCTACATGTCCTACATATACATCTATAAGTAAACAATACTTCCTCTACTACATGTAGAACAACATGATAGCTAGAAGTGGTAGTACATACTTCCTCTACTACATGTAGAACAACATGATAGCTAGAAGTGGTAGTACATACTTCCTCTACTACATGTAGAACAACACGATAGCTAGTAGTAGTGGTACATACTTCCTCTACTACATGTAGAACAACACGATAGCTAGTAGT